CTGCAACAATAATGGCACAAAGCTGACTCCATACAGTGGCTCCTAACCATTAGAGCTGTAAAGTCATCAGTCTTCCTCATCACAGACTTTGTCGTTTCATGATATTAACATCTATTTGGGAAAAAATAAAATAAAACACTTTTTCTTGTTAATATTGTAATTGTAACATAGAAATAAATTTAGATCTTGATCTCTTGTAAGCCATTATTATCAGAAGTAACAGTAAGAAATGCTTGAAATGTAACATTCAGAATAATGAGCTATAAATTACATGACTTTAACTTTTTGAATTAAATTACTGGGATATTTAATCTTTTCATTGATGTTCTAAGATCTTAAGATGCACATGTGATGCTGTTTTTGCTTATTAGATAAAACTAGCCAAACTTCTCTTCTATGATTGTAATTTATTTTGTGCTCTCCCATCAGTCCGAATGATCTCTATCTGCCAAATTGAAATATCTTTTATTTTTCTGCTCTATATTAACTGTCTATCCCCCCCCCAATGCTTTCTTTCAGTCGTCTGTATGATGAATTTCTCTGCTCATTTCATAGGTTTAGCTCCTGATGCATTTTAGTGCAGTGCCAGACTTTCAGTTCATTTAAACTGCTGCTTCAAAGCCCTGCAGATGTCTATTAACTTCTGGTGCTGTGTTATTGGATTTTTCAGAAAATGCCCTATAACACCTGTAAAACAATTTGCACTTGGCCCACATTGTCTCCCAGCAAAAGAACAATCATTTTAAGTCAGCCGCTGTTGGCGGCGATCCAGAAGCTCCGAGGCTGCAGGTACCTGGGCAGGAAGCGCTGGGCGGCGTGCTTTTTCTGCTCAGTGGTCTGTGGGTGATTTGATACGCTCGTTATCTCCTACATAACTAAAGTTTAGCATTTTCAGGAAAAGCGCAGTAAATCTTGATCTGATGACTTTGTAATAACTTTTCCCCTTTAATGACCTTTCAAGTGTTATAAATAAAGATTTTACAACCGAAAAGTTACTTGATCTCTGATTAATGAGTCGTTTTGTGATTCTTTTATAACATCTTTCCTGAAGGATGGGAAATTATTATAAAACTAGCAGAAGCTGCACTTAGAGCAAAGAGAAAACTTGTTAAAGCAAAAAACAGAAGATAAATAAAGCAGCACATTGTTAAAAGGAAAAGTCATAATCAGAATTAAAACTTCTGAAAGTTCTTTAAATATGAAATTATTCCATAATGTTCAATAAATGATCAGTGTTTTTAATT